ACATATACGTTTAGTTTCGATGAAATCATCATGACAAAGCATATACGATGAAATCATGACAAAACATGTACGATGAAATCATGACAAAACATATACGCTCATGTTTGACAAAACATATACGATGAAATCTATGAACATAATAATATTTCAAACCAGGAGCCAAATTCTTGCGATTTTCATATGGAATCTCTTCTCTCGGTTTTCCGAGGTAAGCAATTATATGAAATCATTTACACTCATTACGATGAAATCTATGAACATAATAATATTCAAACCAGGAGCCAAATTCTTGCGATTTTCATATGGAATCTCTTCTCTCGGTTTTTCGAGGGAAACAATCATATGAAATCATTTACACTCATTACGATGAAGTCATGACAAAACATATACGAAGAAGTTTTGACAAAACATAAACGAAGAAATCATGACAAAACATATACGAAGAGGTCATGACAAAACATATACGAAGAGGTCATGACAAAACATATACGAAGAGGTCATGACAAAACATATACGATGAAATCATGACAAAACATATACGCTCATTACGATGAAGAAATCATGAAAATTCATGAGGTGAGAAAAGAGGTGAGAAAAGAGGTGAGATCTCACCTCTTCACCTAAAATATATTTTTGTCTGATTTACGCTCATTACGATGAAGTCATGACAAAACATATACGATGAAGTCATGACAAAACATATACGAAGAGGTCATGACAAAACATATACGAAGAGGTCATGACAAAACATATACGAAGAGGTCATGACAAAACATATACGAAGAGGTCATGACAAAACATATACGAAGAGGTCATGACAAAACATATACGAAGAAGTTTTGACAAAACATATACGAAGAGGTCATGACAAAACATATACGAAGAGGTCATGACAAAACATATACGAAGAAGTTTTGACAAAACATATACGAAGAGGTCATGACAAAACATATACGAAGAGGTCATGACAAAACATTTACGAAGAAGTTTTGACAAAACATTTACGAAGAAGTTTATTTCCTGGACTGTTGTCTAAATGTCTGTTGTCGTAATTTTAAGAGAAGTTAATTAACCTGGTAGCACATGGTAACATGGTAACAGTGAAAACATTAATGTAAACATTATTTTTGCTGAATTCAGCAACAAAATGAACGAGGTCAGGATGTATGCAAATACCTTTGAATTCATTCATAACGCCTTAGTAAGCTCATAAAATGCTTGTTTTTGCATCACATTTTGACGAAGTGAAGATCTTCACTTCGTCAAAAATGTTTTGCATTCTCTACTGTATCTTCGAGTTCTTCTTCATCTAACTTCTCATGAACTTTCTTGTCTATGGAGTCCATAATATCTTTGACATAAAATGCATACTTTACAGAGCACCATTCAGCAACAAAATGAACGAGGTCAGGATGTATGCAAATACCTTTGAATTCATTCATAAATGCCTTAGTAAACTCAAAAATGCTTGTTTTGAGGTTGAGCCACTTTTGGCTCGACCGTATTCTTTCAACCAAAACTCAAGAATTTTCCTGTGTGAATTTTGTATAAAAACCAACCGTCTGAATTCAGGCGGTTGTTATATTCTTCACAAAACATTTACGATGAAATCATGACAAAACATTTACGATGAGGACATAACAAAACATTTACGTTTAAGTTCCATGAAATCATAACAAAACATTTACGATGAAATCTATGACAAAACATGTACGATGAGGTCATGACAAAACATATACGTTTAAGTTCCATGAAATCATAACAAAACATTTACGATGAAATCTATGACAAAACATTTACGATGAAATCATGACAAAACATGTACGATGAAGTTTTGACAAAACATATACGTTTAAGTTCCATGAAATCATAACAAAACATTTACGATGAAATCTATGACAAAACATGTACGATGAAATCATGACAAAACATTTACGATGAAATCATGACAAAACATTTACGATGAAATCTATGACAAAACATTTATGTTATACAGTAATGTTAGTCATGAATGTTTGTCCTACGTGTTGGCGTTAGTGTTGAAAAATAATGTTTGTCCTACATGAAGCCGTACAAGCGTTTGAATTTGTTTATGCATAAGATTACTCTCTTGTTTTCTGTATCTATCATACAAACATAAGCAGCACCTGTTTTTGTAAAGTTTATATGAAGTTTTCGATAGTTAAGACCTGTATAATAATAGAATGCGTCCTCATTCTCAACATATAGTAGAACTCAAACGAATGCTTACCATAAGCTGTTATTTCAACAGCTTCGTCAGATATTTCATCAACGAACTCATAAACTATATCGCCATACTTGCTTTTATTTCTATTGTTTTCAGATTTAGAACACCAACGAAGGTTTGAGATTCTGTTGTCCGTTCTATCATGATTTATATGGTCTATTTCTTTCAAATTGTTTGGATTTTCAATCCACTGTTCTGCAATAATTCTATGCTTTAAATGTGTTTTGTTGTTTAAACTAAGCTCAATATAACCATGATTATTTAAGCATTCACTCTTAATATGTTTGTTTTTCTTTCGACGAATAGTAAAAGGATATGTCGTACAAATCTCATAATCTTCATGATTTCTCAATGTTTCCCATTGAGTTTGTTCCCCACTAACGTTCTCATTGACGTCCTCAATATCTTCTTCCTCACTGAACTCGTCAATATTTTCACTAGCTCCTTCTGTAATGTTTTCATCGGCATTGTCATTGACTTCTTCTGTAATGTTAGATGTTGTTGTTTCGCTCATGTTCTTTCACTAATGTTAAAAAGTTATGTTGTACGAATTTTGAACAGAATTTAGAGCAGTTATGAAACAATGAAGTACTTTTACGCTATTGAAAGGAACTATGAGAGTGAAGTACATGACAGCAATGACAAAAGGAACTAATATCAAACCTAATGAAATCGCTCACGAGGACATAGAGCTTAACAAGTACTTTGTGGAGTATCTTATAAGTGAAGAGTATGTAAGACCTTACTTCATGTTTGACAGCATGAATGAGGATGTTATTTCATGGTTAAAGAATATAAGCAATGTTTTCGGTAAGTACGTCATAGATGACAAAGGTCTTGTTGTATTTTATGAGACAGCAATACGAACACAGGAACTAATGGATATTATGCACTCAACAGCAAAGAAAGGATTTAGTACTATTGGCATGAATGAACATTGCAGGAATGACATATACAACCTATGCTCACGAAAGCCTTACACAAAAGCAATACAAATGATAGAACATAAGTGTCTAAGGTCAGCAAATGAAATCATTACTGTCAGTGGTTATGAAAGAACTGTTAGCAAAGATGAGTGGAAACAGCTATTCATATTAAGGAAGGACGTTGCTGAACTAGTTAAACCTGTTGCACAAACATTGTTTCAGATAAGACCAGCAATGACTAAGAACCCTTTGACCTTAGTCAATGAGACCATAGAGGTTGAAGATAATGACATGAAAGAACTAGGAATGAATGAGAGAAGTTGTGAAGGATGTTTGAGTCAAAACACATGGTTCTTCAGAGCTGTTAAGAAACTTAGTAAAGAACGACAGAAATATTTTATAGAGAAGTATTGCAAAGGATGTGTAAATGAATTGTTTGAAATAGAACTTAGAGACACTTTCACACTAAAGGACTTGAGGAAAAATAAGTACATGAGTGAGGACGGTATTGACATAGCTAGTGTTATAAATGACTTAAGAAGATGTGTTGTTGTTATTGACGGAGCACGTATGACATATCTAGTGAAAGATTATGATGGAATACGAGACACAACAACACTTGTGTCAGTAGATAGCAAGGAATTCAATAAGCTCATGAAGAGTGTTTATGTAGGACGTATTGAGGAGAAGGATGTGAACGCACTGATGATTTATGAAGCGGGTCAGAACAAGAACTATCTTATGAAGTCAGGCATGAGATTCTTTGACGAAAGAGATGACATTTACAGCTATTTCAGAGGATATGAGTATGAGGTACTGAATGAAGTAGATGAGAACGTTATTGAAGGATATTTGAAACATGTTCACGATGTCATATGTAATGAGGATGAAGAGCTTTATGAGTATGTTTTGAACTGGTTCGCCTACATCGTTCAAAATCCTTGTGGAAAGACTGGAACAGTACTTTTGTTAATAGGAAAGCAAGGAACTGGTAAGAATGTACTTAGTAATGTTCTATGCGAGCTCATTAGCAAGTACGCCAACAATAATATAACGGCAATAGAGAATGTGGTTGGTAGATTCAATGCTGCTATTGAGAACATGAAGCTCATCGTATGCAATGAACTAAGCTCATGCGATACGTCTAAGGTCATGAACCACGACGCACTAAAGTCAATAGTAACAGAGACTCAGTTGGACTTAAATCAGAAGTGTCAGCCAGTAAGAAAGATAGAGAATGTTTGTAATATCATCATGATATCTAACAACTTCAACTCAGTAAAGATTGACAAAGACGACAGAAGATTTGTTGTCATTGACGTAAGCAGCAGATACAAAGGAAATTACGAATATTTCTCAAATCTCATTGAAAGCTTTAATGAAGAGTTTTATTCAAACTTACTGACGTACTTCATGAGGAAAGATTTAAGTGAATTTGATGTAAGGAAGATACCATTCACCAGGGCTAAACAAGAACTCATCGAAATGAACAAAACACCTTACCAAATGTTTTACGAGGAGTTCTATGAAAAGTTTGTATCCGGATGGAATTGTACAGAGTGCTACAGAAGATATAAAGAATTTGCGAAGGAGAATGAATTCTTTGCATGTAGTTCAAATGTATTTGGTGGCAAGATGAGAGAATTTGTGAAGAGAAGTAGAAAGCGAGACGGTTCTGCAAGAAGTTATATTTACGAAGCAAGTATGATATTAGAAGGTCGTGGAAAGAAAGAAACAGTGAATTATGAGGAAGTGCTTGAAAAATTCATGGAGTAGATGGGAAGCAATATAACATACAACAAAGACATATACAGTGAGTTTAAGTACTATTGTGAACAGCATGAGATTGAAGTAATGAGTAAAGGAGACTTTGAAACGCTTATGAAAGACAGTGAGGAGGTCATATGAGAACAGTTGAAATAGTTCATGAGAACAGTGAGGAGGTCATACATGAAACAGTTGAAATAGTTCATGAGAACAGTGAGGAGGTCATATATGAGAACAGTGTTGAAATAGTTCATGAGAACAGTGAGGAGGTCATACATGAGAACAGTGTTGAAATAGTTCATGAGAACAGTGAGGAGGTCATACATGAGAACAGTGTTGAAATAGTTCATGAGAACAGTGAGGAGGTCATACATGAGAACAGTGTTGAAATAGTTCATGAGAACAGTGAGGAGGTCATACATGAGAACAGTGTTGAAATAGTTCATGAGAACAGTGAGGAGGTCATACATGAGAACAGTGTTGAAATAGTTCACAATGTCGTTCGTGAAGAAGCCATTGCAACAAAGAATGAGATAAAGGATTTCATAGAATTTAACAAGGAGGAGTTTAAAGAAGGCTATGAAGTGAAAAGATGTGAAGAAGATTTCTTGGCGTATTTGAAGAAAAAGAGACTAAAGCCAATGGCTCAAAATAAGTTTCAATCGATGTTTGAAAAGAAACGTTTGAGCTATGGTGGTGTAAGAAGCACATATTACTTTGTTAAGAAGTGAGGACATTTATTTTTGTCGTTAGTGTTGGAGTATTTGTTGTTAGTGTTGGAGTTTTGTATTTGTTGTTAGTGAGAGAATAAATTAAATCATGAACTTTGCCATGGTCTCTGTCCCTAGTAGTTTTCATTAAGTTCTGGAAATAATGAAAGTCATAAACTTTGCCATGGTCTCTGTCCCTAGTAGTTTTCATTATCTCACAGAGTTAATGAAAGTCATACTTTCTATCAGATGAAGCATGCAGATGAACATAATGAAAGTGAGTGAGTTTGCCACGAGTTATGAATAAAATATTGGCATATTAGATGAGATAGCTGATGAAACAGATGAAGATAAATTAAATCTTGGACTTTGCCACACTCTGTCCCTAGTTCCTCAAAATCCTTGACAACGTTGCTTAGAAATTTTGGTTCAAAACCTCATCTGATTTTAATCTGTTATGCTACCTGTTAAGTTTCGCGAGATTATAAATGTCATGGAGTTATATAAAAAGGAGGGACAGCTAGGGACACTGGAAGTACTTGTAAGGCTATCTGTTAAGATTGCATGAAATACTAAAAAGTCATGAAATCCATTATCGCTGTGCTAGCTTCACCTTTGATTGAAATGACAAATAAAGTCACTGAAGCAATGAAACAAAAGTTTTTGGTAGAATACATTAAATCAGGAACTATTCCAGAAGGTTTTTACATTCATACTATGAAGGATGGTAGAGTTCAGTTTAGAAAGATAAAGCAACCATTAGATAGAGAAGGAATTTTGAGAAAGATTAAACTTCATGAGGACAACATTGCTGAACTTAAGAAGAAGTTAGAAGAGTTGGAGAAAGGAAGAGAGTTATAAAGCAATGAGTTCAACAAGGTTAGAAATGAGGGTAGAAATGAGGTTAGATCTACCCTTCTACCCTAAATTTAAATGGATGTTTTCATACGTGTGAGGGTGGTGATATCATTAATTTTTAAGTTTATTTTTATATAAATGACGAAAACTATTGAGATAACAAACTACAACGGTCATGAGTTCAAGAATTTGTTCTTCGTTCCTCGTGAAAATACATTCTATCAGATACGAGGGAGAAAGGGTAAAGTTAGTTTGAGCGTTTATGAAGGAATGAAGAATGGAAAGTTTATACAAGCATACGATACAAACGGTAAACGTGTTTCATTAGCTTTGTCAAAACTTACTAACATTTATTTTGACAGTGATTTTGACCTATATGAAGAAGAAAGTGAGTCAGAAGATTATGAGCTGTTATGTGAAGCACAGCAATGGGAGGAGTTGCAATACTTTTGTAAGTGAGAACGTTTATTTTTACATTAATGAAGTCGTTAGTGGTTGGCGGTTTGTAAATATTTAAGGTTAAGTTAGTGTTATCGTTTGTGTTGTAAAATATACGTTACTGGTTTTGTAAATATTTAAGGTTAAGTGGTGTACGGAGGCGCGCAGTGCCTCAGTACACGACTTAGCCATACTAACTGTCGTTAGTGAAGTCGTTTATGTGTCAGACAGTTTTGTAAATATTTAAGGTTAAGTTGGTGTTGTCGTTTGTGAAGTCGTTAGTGAAGTCGTTAGTGAAGTCGTTTATGTGTCAGACGGTTTTGTAAATATTTAAGGTTAAGTTGGTGTTGTCGTTTGTGTTGTAAAATATACGTTAACGGTTTTGTAAAGTGTCAAACCGTTATCTTGGGTAAGGTGGAACGCAGTGCCGCAGTACCCAAGATAGGTATACTAACTAACCTGAATTTATCATGTCTGACTGTGCACTAAACATTTTCAACGGGATTATGAATTCATTTCCGGAGTGCAATATCTTTTGGTGCGCGCTACATGTAATACGCGCACTTAAAAAGAATCTCTCAAAGATAAATGATGAAGAGATTAGATCAGAAGTCGAAAAATTTATGAACATTTTATGTTATTATCGTGATTGCACAGAAGAAGATGCTGCAAAAATGTATAAAGAGCACATTATTGATAAAATTCAAGATCAATTGGAATTTAATCAATACTTTACACGTCAGTGGGACATTCATAAACAACAATGGATAGCCGCTGCCAGACCAAATGAATTAACTGTTGTGAATAACGTTTCTGAATCTTTATTTAAAAAGATAAAATATCACGATTTTGGCTGCGTTAAAAATCAAAGAATTGATGTTTTTGTCAAAAATCTTTTAGAAGAAGTTGCACCCAATTACTTTTATCGTATTAAAAACGATTTACTTCAAACAGGTTTTATTCCTTCAATTAGAATTCGCGAGCCTCGATTGACAGATTATAAAACAAAATTGAAAAGAGAAGTTCAATCACGTTTATACCAAGTATTAAATTTTGTTCAGAATCAAGAAGCCAATTTGAATCCATTAAGATTTTTATTGGAAAATGCTAAAGAAAAACTTTCTCAAATAAATGAGAAGATACAAAATTCAATTACATATTTAAGATCGTTTGAAATTCCAAATGAATTGTTAGATACGTATATGTTAGAAATTAATGAATTTTGTTATAATTCTCCAGATTATATTTTAGAACATTTCGAAGAATTTTTGGAGGATTTCAAAGAAAAGAATAATTTAATAGACTAAAAAATTTATTATTTTTATTTATTGTGAATTTTAAATTGTCACTTTTTAAGTGTTACCCCCTATTGAAAGTATCACTTTTTTGGGTGTCACTTTTTCAGAAATTCTTATATACTCTAAAGCTTTCCAGTTCATGGGAATGCAGAAAGTTCCTTCGATCACTTTCTACGATGTCGTGAAGGACACACAAGCAGAAAAGTACTTCACTGACTATAAGTCTCATTTGGAAAACAATTTTAAGTTTTAAAATTAATTCTTTTTAAAACACAAAACTAAATATAAATAATATCTAATATTACAAAATTATTCTATTTGGCATCATCCCAATCTCCCCATTCAGCATCATCAATCTCTTCAACTTTCATTGCTTTGACAGATTTCTTTGGTCTGATCTGTTTCTTTCCAGACTTGTCGTACAAATTGCCCCAGTTATCATCATCGTCATCACCTTTATTTGTCTGTTGTTTTGCAACTTTTTGAACAGGTTTTGTCATTTTTCTTGGTTGAGTTTCTTTTGTTTTTTGAGGAATAATTGCCGCATCATCTAAATCTCCCCATCCATCTTCATCATCTTCTTCAGCTTTCTTAGTCGACTTAAGAACTAATGGTTTAGAAGTACTAACTGGCTTCTTTTGTGTCAAAGACGATTTCGGTTTGACAACGGTTTTCGGTTTTTCTTCAATTTCTCCCCAGCCATTTTCTTCGTCATCATCTTCGATTTTTTGCTGTTTTTGAACAGGTTTAGTAACAACTTTTGGTTTGACGGTTTGCGATTTGACAGGTGTCACTTTTTCAGGTTCATCGAAATCACCCCAACCATTTTCTTCATCATCAACATCAATATCTACGACTTTTGGTTGGATTTTCTGTTGAACGATAGGTTTCGGTTTGACAACGGTTTTCGGTTGTGGTTTTTTATCTTCATCTGCATCTTCAAGGTCTCCCCAACCATCTTCATCATCAATTTCAGCGACAACAGCTGCTTTCGGCTTTGGAGTAATTTGTCTGGGCTTTTTGACAGTTTTTGACGTTTTGGCGGTTGCGGTTAACGGTTTATTTACATCAATTTCATCCCAACCACCCTTTTCAACATTTGACAAATTCAAAACGGTTTTCGGTTTGACAGGTGCCGGTTTTTGTGGAATTTGTTGATTTTGGTTTTCTTCCTCAATTTTTTCTTTATCGTTTGCGGACAAACCTTCCAAAATTTGTGCCATTAGTCTGAGTGCCGGAATCCTCACTTCCTCGACCTGGTCGATGAGTAATGGTCCTAAAGCGGGGACAAGTATTTGCGCAATGTGTCCTGAATTGAATTTCGGAAGGCATGACTTCATTGCTGCTACAGATGCCTTTCTTGCCGGTGCGAATCCATCCCTGGCTGATTTGGCAAACGCTTGGGCTAAAAATTGAACTTTTTCAATGTATTCTGAAATTTTTGCCAAACAAATAACTGAATTAGTTCTAACTTGCGCGTCATCGACCTCCTGGAGCCTGTCCAATGTCCTCATGAGTGCGGAAATGTTGTCAGAAGTCAATAACGGAGCTAATGGAACCATCGCAATAATTGTCGCTTGTCTAACTAAGACATCGTTCAATCCTGGGAATATTTCGCGGAAGATAACGTCATTGGCAATTGATTTGTCGACATTTGGAACGATTTTGGGCATTTGAGAAAGCAATTCTAAACGTAATTCAGTACTTCTTATGGAAAAGAGCTCTGTAACCTTGGGAATTACCTTAGATGTAAAGCTTTCTTTGTCCATCGATGACGACAAAGCGAAAATTGGTTGTAAAATTGCTGGAGTTTGAGAAAATGAAAGAGCTTTAATTAATTCTGGTATAATAGCTTCTGCTTGCATAGGAGGAGAGAATATATCTGCGTAATCAACTAAATCTTTAAAGAAAACTTGTCTTTGCAAATTATCTTTTAATGGAAGCTCTTTGAGGAATGTAAGCATCTGGGAGAACTTATCTGAGCTCCAGATTTCTAGTTCGAGTAATTCTTTTGGTTCTGGCATTTTATTTGAAAGAAAATTCCAACATTTTCCAATTTGATTGATTGGTCGAGCTAATTCTTCAGACCAGGACTTAATGTATTCAGATAACATATATGCATCAGCAGCGTATAATGGAAGCTTGTTTAAATCTTGTTTTACATGTGAAATTTGTTGCCAATTTTGAAGAAAATCGAAAATGGGACCAGAATTCATTGCGCTGACCCATTCAAGACCTGCAATCTTGATTTCGTGGCCAGGTGTCATGAATAATGAGTTGTTTGTAAGATTTCCGTAAATTGAGTTTGCATTTGCAGACATGAATGAAATAAATTCAGCAATCGATCTAACAGCCCATTGCTTTTCGTTGTCCGAGAAGTCTCCTTCAGAAAATAGAAGAATTTTTTCTGTTACTACGTATGTAATTGAATTGTCTTCGTAAGTATCAAGATATGGAACAACAGAAGGATGACGGAGAATCTTCCATTGCTTAAGAAGATTCTGTCTTAATTCTTGGCATATTGGTGTTTGTTCATTTGAGATTTCGAAAATTGAGCACTCGTAATTATCACTTACACGAAATCCTTCGTGAAGAACGATCTTCAACGGCCCATCAATGTCCTTTACCTTCGCCTTAATAGTATATGGAGCCGTTTTCTTCCCAAAAAATCTCATAAACATTTTTCAAAAATGTCAAAAAAATCAAAACGATTACTCAATGAGAGCAATCATGTGAATTTGTTTAAGATTGAATGCTGAACTTATATTGATTAATATTCTATATGATAGTCAAGAATTATTCCTAATTTTCGATTCGATTTTTGCCGTATGCTTGTCAAAACAATATTATCAGCCATAAATATTACAATATACCTGATGACACAGTGAAATACACTCCATTTAAGTACAAATTTATTGAGATACTTTCAATTCTGAGAATTAGACAGTATTATATCGTTTGATACGCAAATTATTATAGAACTTACCTATATAATCTTATACTTTCTTATAAAAGTCTAAAAATTAATATGAAAATTGAAATTGAATAATTTTCGTTAATTTCATGGGATAATCGTAAATATATACCTGCAATTGCCTATATTTAGTACATAGCCACTATATTTCAATGAAGGAACTCTCATGATGTTGTTTCATTCGAAATCTCGGCAATTTCATTAGGTCCATAAATATGAAGCTAGAATGAAACAGACACACAATACAACAGCATTTTTCCTTAATTAAAAGGATTTTTTAAATGACAGAAAGGGAAAAATAAGAGAAATCTAGTAATAAAAATGACAGCAATCATAAAATAACTGTATTAATTCATGCCACATATTCTGGATTTTGTGTTCGTGATTTTTAACCGATTATCGCGGGGATAAATTCAATATTGAATCAGGAATTCAAATTATGAAAATTTTGAAATAAACCGATGGAGAATAATTCAATCACGATCATTTCCTCAGTAATCACTTCATATTTAAAGCATTAAACTATATTTGGAAGAAACTAATATGGCCAAGTGATATATAGCAAAATTACTGAACCATTTTCTTCATTCAGCAATTAAATGACGTCATCTTTTATCATTACAAAATCATTGTCACTTTTTATATCGATTTTTTTGAATGGATTATTCTTTCATATTCATCTGCTTTAAAATCAAGTAATTTATCTTTATTTATGATTGTTAATCGATTTCCTGATTGATGGCTAAGGAATACAATTTGGGAATAATTTTATTCAATCCTTTCAATTTGAGAACGAAACATCCTTGGTCATTTTAAATCTCAAAAATTCAAATTTAAGAAAACTCGAAATCGCGCATGTATTCATGACGCATATGTTAATGACATTTCGAGGTTATTTTTTCTGAAATATGATTTTTTTATTATTTTTGTGAATGCTGTCCTCAATAGCACGCTCATACGGCAAGTTGAGATCGGATGTTTCAAAAACACTTTTCACAGGAACCAAATGGTCTCCTGAAAAAGACAAATACGAAATTCCAAACCCAGATGAAATCATCAATGAGAACGAAATCAACGAAGCTCTTGTTGAAACACGCGATTACGGAAAGGATAAGGCTCGCGTATGTGGAATCCTTGAGAAAGCCAGAGATCGTGCTACACTTAAAGATGTTGTTGCCGGACCATCTGAGTTCCTTCTTGGTCTTTCCATCCAAGAAGCTGCAACACTTCTTAACGTTCCAATAGAGGACAGTAATCTCATTCAGGAAATCTACGATACAGCCTTCTTCATCAAGAATCGTATCTACGGCAACCGTATTGTTCTTTTCGCTCCACTTTACGTTTCAAACTTCTGCAACTGCTCATGCACATACTGCGGTTACCGTGGAACCAACACACAGATCGAGCGTTGCAAGTTGTCCACAGATCAAGTCAAGAGAGAAGTCGAAGTTCTTGAGAAGATGGGCCACAAGAGAATTCTCATGTTGACAGGTGAGCACCCAACATACACATTTGATGACTTCCTTGAAGCTCTCAAGGCCGCTTCATCTGTTAAGACAGACAAATCTGGTGAGATTCGTCGTATCAACGTCGAAATTCCAACACTTTCTGTTACAGACTTCAAGCGCCTCAAAGCTCTCGGTTGCGTCGGTACATACACATTATTCCAGGAAACATACCACCGCAAGTCCTTCAAGAAGTTCCATCCATACGGTCCAAAGGCTGACTACGACTACCGTATCACCTGCATGGATCGTGCTCAAATCGGTGGCATTGATGATGTCGGATTTGGCGCTCTCCTTGGTCTTTATGACCACAAGTTCGAAGGTCTCGCTCTCCTTCAGCACGCCAAGCACCTTGATGAGAAGTTTGGCACAGGTCCACATACCATTTCCTTCCCAAGAATCAGACCAGCTACAGGCACACCACTTTCCGAGCACCCACCACACGTTGTCAACGATGATGACTTCAAGCGCCTTATCGCTGTCCTTCGTTGCGCTGTTCCATACACAGGCATGATTATTTCTACAAGAGAATCCGCTAAAATGCGTAAGGAACTCCTTAACATCGGTATCTCCCAGATTTCTGCTGCTTCATCAACAGAAGTCGGCTCATACAACAAGACATCCGATGGTAAGAAGGGCCAGTTCTCAATCTATGACCACAGATCTGCTGATGAAGTCGTCAGAGATCTCATGAAGGACGGATACGTCCCATCATGGTGCACAGCCTGCTACAGACTCGGCAGAACAGGTGAGGCTTTCATGAAGTAGGCTAAGTCTGGTGAAATCCACAACAACTGCCATCCAAACTCTATCTTTACACTCGCTGAATACCTTATCGACTACGCTTCTGATGAAACAAAGCAGATCGGCTGGAAGCTCATCGAGAAGGAACTCAACAACATTACAGATGAAAAGCGCCGTAAGGCTACAATTAGAAGACTTGACCTCATTCAGAATGGCAAGCGTGATCTCTACTTCTAAGATTTTTTCTGAATAAAATTAAATATATATTTTGATTAATTTGAAGCACATATTTAAAGTTATAAGACTTTAATCATGACTTCCATATCTAACAAGCTTGTATTTAAAAGTTATTTGTGAATTGGCACGACAATCAAAATGGATTTATCTTCTAACTTTTATTTGTTGGAACCAAAAGTTATTGAAAATTCCACAATCGACAAAAAAGGTTGCTGCATAGTAGCAATATATGTGTGAATACATGGTTGCAGAGAGAGATAAAAAGAAATAAGAGCCATAAGGAAGAAGAATAACAAGATCTTTAATAAAAAGACATGAGGGCCTAAGGATCAGGTTATGCTGGGATGGAGATAAAGTCAAAAATGATGATCGGTAATAAATAAATATTTTATAAATAACAAAAAAATTATAAACTATAATATGCATTATTGCTTCTGTATCAATGCAGTATTCTGCTGTTTAAGCTGTGAAACTTGCTCTTGTAATCTGTCAAGTTTGGCTTCCTTTCTTTGCAACAATTCGTTCAATTGAGCGATTGTCTGATTTGCCTTCTTTAATAACAGAGTTAACTCTTCATTCTTTTGCTCAGCAGCAACAGCCCTGGCCTTTATTTGCTTCATCTTTGCCATTTCCTTTTGGAATATATCCTCATTAGATGATGATTTATCTGTACTTGAAAATGTTCCTTCATTCTTCTGCTTCTTTAGCAAGTTATATTCTTTAAGCAATGCGTTGTATTTCTTCTGAAGTTTAGTATATCTCAACTTCAGTTCGCTATTAAATTCAGCAGCTGTTGTTGACGGATTTGCTTTATCATCATTAACAGTTGTTGTTGATTCACTAAATGATTGTGATGTTTCATTCAGTTTCTTAAGTGCTGCATCTCTTTGAGCTTCAGCCATTCTTATTGCGTCATCTTTATCTTTCAACAAATCTGTCAATTCTTGGATCTTTGCATTCTTTCTCTTCAATTCCAAAGCTACATCTCCCAAATCATCTCTTCCGAAATGCCCTCCATTTTGTTCTTGAACAGCTCTCAAGTCTAACGCGTCTTTAACTCTTTGTTCAACATATCTATCAGCTTCATTCTTGAGATTGATGAATTTCTCTTTAAATGCTGCACGTTGATCTTCGAGTTTCTTCTGGAGTAGTTCGATTGTTCTTTGGCTCTCTTTAAGAAGATTCTCTAAGTCTGCAATTCTATTATCTTTTTCATTATTCTGGCGCTTAAGTTCATCGACATCATGTGATAGTTTGATGTTTAATTGCTTCAAGTTATCGAGTAAATTATTTTCATCAATTTCACGTTGAGACAAAACAAACATCAAATCATCACTTGGATAAGCTAATTCACCTGCAACAACTAATGGTCCAATAGTATCGAACTTCGAGTAAAACACAGGTCTTGAGATATCCAAAGAAAGGAACAAACCTTCTGTTTGAGTAAGTTTTGCACTCTTTGGAGTTCTGTTGATATTTTGTGTTCCAGAATTTCTATTGTTTTGATCTTTAGATAGTGCATTGAGTTCTTGATTAAGATCACTATTCTTCAATGTCAAATCAGCATTCTGCTTCGAATAAAGATCATTCTGTTCTTTAAGTTGGTTGTTTTCGCTCTTCAACCGACGAAGTAATTCTTTTAATTCGATATACTTCTCTTGTAAAGTTCTTGCCCATTCATCCATGTCTTCTTTACTAAATGGAGGATGTTCGTATGGATCAAATGGCTCGACAGGATCTGTTTGAACTGCTTTAGTCTTAGTCTGTTTCTTTGCTTGTCCGTCACCTTTTCTTGGAGTAACTTGTCCTTCAGTGATATTCATTGTCTTTTGCTGTGGTTTATCTTTTGTGAAGCTCATTACACGCATAAGCTTCGATCCTTTAACTTTATCAGCAAGCGATGGCTCGTTATCTTGACTATCTTCCTCATAATCATAATCAGATTCTTCTTCATCGTAAGAATCAGAATCAATCTCTTGAGTATTGGTCCTACTGAAGCCTCCAGGCTTTGAGAAGACTGTAGCCCTCTGTTTACCGCCATCTCCGCCAACAACGATCTTAACTTCACTAATTGGCTTGTTTTTATGCTGTGCGAGGGTTGCTTGAAGGATTTCAAGTGCTTTACGTTCAGTTCTACGCTGAATATCATGAGCTTGGTTTTCTAATACTTCATTATAAAATGCGTTGAAGTCAAAGTTTGGAGGTAAGTATGGTTCTATTGTTACAATGATTCTTTCAAATATATTGATCTGATTTACAAGGTCAGCAATGAAAGCATCTCTAACGGAAACTAAAGTCTTTAATTGTCTAGCTTGAGCAGCAGCTTCTGCAAGGCCAATTGTACCATTTTCATAATTGGTGATCTGATTTCTAAGTTCTTCATTCTCCTTCTTTATATTTTCTACTTCAATTTCCTTGTTTACATTATCATTTGTGATTTCATCAATTCGTTTCGACTGTTGAATGATCTCGTCATTAAGCATTTGTATTTGCTTTTCAGCATATTCTGTTGTTATACGATTCTTTTCACGTAACTCATCAATTTGGAAGACAAATCTTTCTGATCTGTCGCGATATGGCTCTAATTCCATTTCTTTATCTTCAATTTCCTTCTTAAGCTTCTGTACATGCTTTCTATACTGTTGAACTGTGATTTCAAGTTTTGCAGCCTTTTCTTCAAATTGTTGCAATTTTTCACACTTAATCTGTAGTTCTTTGACTTGATTTCTAGATATAATAAGCTGCTTCTGAACGTCAGCAAGTGATTGCATTGATCCTAGATCTCTTTGCTGTGTTTGACTCAATGTTTTATCAAGATTTCGAGCTTTTGAAACTTCTTGCTCAAGAATCATGACCATTCTTTGTTCTTGATCAATTTCAATTTGTAATTGCCTATTTTGCTCTTGTGCATTTGATAAAGATTTCGAAATTTGTTGGTTTTGTTGTATTAAATCTTGAATAGCAGTATCTAAATCTTTGATATGTGCTTGTAATTGCAAATTTTGATCAGAAAGCTTCTTTTTTTCTGCTAAATACGTAATAAAATCTTGACGATGCTTTAAACCTAAGGATTCAATTGCTCTTATACGAGCTTTTAAGTCAGCTATTTCTAAATCGCGCTTTTTAATAAAAGAAGATCCAGTTTGCATCTCTTCATTTAAAGCTTTGACTTTAGATTCAAGAGATTCGACTTTCATTTCAAGTCCTTGATTCTTTGTTTGAAGTCTTTGGTTAGTACGTGAGATTTCTAAGAATTCTTCTCTTTGATTGACTAATTTATCCTCTAATTCTTTATTTCGTTCCGTTAGTGCTTTATTTTCATTTGTAAGTATTCGAAGCCTATCATTTAAAGTACGCAGATTGTTTTGACTACCCTCTTCGTCAAAAGAGGAGTCGTCGCCCACTTGCATTCTCTAATTTTTCAAAAATTTATAAAATAAACGCGCATTGTAAAGTATTCAATTTAATGAAGTAGTCATTTTACACAGCAAATCACATAATTATCTAAACAAACTTGTATATTTCTCAAATAACTAAGTTTGATTGATTTTTATTTAGAATTGTAAATAATTTCAGGATTAAATCATAAATATGAGGATAAGTATGTGATCCAGATTGAATCATAACATTTTCACTTTCATTTTATGTTTGTGCGGGAGGGGGAAGTTAAAGATGCGATTGTTGATGAGATCATCTTTCGATCAATGAAAGTTTATCCGCTATCTTCATCAATTCTTCCGCTTATAATATCATTAGATACTGATGCTATCATGAATTTGGAAAATGTTCCTGAATTTGATGATAATTCTACAAGATGCGGCCTTTGTAATGCATTTTTCAACTCGTACGCTATAATACATGACCATCCATCTGTATGGAAATGCGCTTTATGCAATAGAGTAAATACCCTTCCTTTGCCTCCATCGAATAGCTTTGATACAGGATTCTCACTTGCACAGAAATCGATTCCATATAACAATATTGTATTCGATTTTATAAAACAACCAAGAAATCATAAAAATCAAAAACCTTGCATCATTCTGGCAGTCATTTCATCATTAAACCGACAAATAATAGACAAAATATCAGAAGGTATAGACGATTCTCTCGAAATAGACTACATTCTCATATATTTCAACGCTTATGTTGAAATTTTCGACACACAAAGTAATTCTTTCAAAGTGTTACTATGCGAATCATCAGATATTTTCCTACCAACATCAGTAGACCGAATGAAAATGAACTCTACTAAATTAAAAAATGTTTTGAAATCTTATATTCCTCCAGCACGTTCAGATTCAAATTTATCTCCTCTTTGCGCAATAGTTAATGAAATAAATCTCGAAGAACCGACAAGATTCGTTTGTTTCGCTAAAGGTCCCGTTCAAACGATGTCTTCTCAAATTCAGTACCCAACATACTTATGCTTTATAGGAGATTCGATAAATAAACTTGGATACTTCAATTCTCTTATCAATGTCCCCGGTTCAAAATTTACAATAATTGATGATTCAGATCTCAGCAAAGTTTTGTTCTTTTCTCAAAAGTGCTTCAGAACAAAAATAGTCAAAGACATCCAGATACAGTTTTACATGCCAAAAACTATGTTTCAAAGTAATGTCAGTCCGAATTCAAGGATAGCAGCATTTGAAAGGTCCAATTTCAGTGGAGCTGTTCTATTTTCTATAGCACAAGCTGAATTAGGATATACAGAAGTCAATGAAAAAAATGTCAAAAGAATTATTTCAATTAAAATTCCACTAACACCTCATGCGAAGATATATAAGAGTTCTACATTTAAATTTCCATATCGATGCTTGTTTTCAGTTTGTTCTTATATTATTGAAGAAATTAAAAAGATGACAGAGACACAGCAGCTTTTCCAGATACGTGGATTCATATTTGAAACAGCTCAGAGGTATCCTCACGAACTTTTGTTTAAGAATTTTATTTTTTCATTATTTAGATCAAAATTACTCGACCAAGGTGCCGATCTTTATACTCGGTCTGGAATAGCCCATATGCTATGCACTCTTCCTATTCCAAATATATTTTTCTATTTTGTTCCTTTAGAATACGTAAATGGAAAGATAGAACCAGTAATTCCGAAACCCAATAAAGATGCAATTGCACGTTTGACTCACGATGCAGTATATATCCTTGATTCAGTTGAAGATCCAAAATCAATTGTTAATTCAATTGCAAAAGCCATGGATCTTTTATATATTGACTCTTGCATTGAAATTGTTCCAAAATTACAAGAGATAAATGACTATACTGAAGGATATCGTCAATGGGAAAGCGCTTGGTCAAAAAATACTCCAAAGTTTAACTTTACTACTGTATAATCAACATTTTATTTGCTTTTATATAATATTATTAAATGTGTTTGCTTATAGAGTTTCTTATTTTGAAAATAATTTTTTAAATTAAAAGTTGTTTTCGAAATTACCAATGAACCAATATTGCCAAAGACATGTGCTATATTCTCCATAAATCTCTAATGCTTTGCGTGAAAAATAAGTGAATGAAATAAAATATCAAACAAAAAAATTTATTCAATAGAGTCTAAGATAGATTGTAGGAGTTGTGCTGCTTCCGAAAGCTCATCCTCTCCAGAGTCAAGGATTTCTGAGTTTACTTGAGCTAAATCTGATAAAAATGAAGCATATGTTGATTCTCCTTGTAAATTATGAGAAATTAAGGAATTAACAAACGGTATAATCATTACAGTAATAATTCTATGTGAATCTTCAGGAGTATCTTCACTAATTGCGTTAAGTATGATTTCTTTCGAAATAGGATGTTCTATTATATATTCTGCCTGCTCAAATGTTCCACACTTAATGAAAGCCCATAGAATTTCGCATCCAAGCTGCTTAACAGCAAAATTTGACAAATTAATTATATTTAAAATAGAATTAAACACAGAGGAGTCCAAGAAATGACTTATTATAGTATCTCCGAATACCGAAAATGATAACAAACAATGAAAAGCGTTGATTTGAATGTCAATATTTTCAAAACAACGCGAATTAATAATGCGAACTATATCTTGGAACGGAATAATCTCTGTTATTTCCATAAAGTCATCTGAACACACAGTATTATTGAGTAAAGCCAAAGAATATTGATATCCTAAAACATTATTATCGTCATCAAGTAATTTTATTGTGCGATTCCACATCTCTGTATTAACTATATCCATATAACTGAATTTACTTCCTATTATAAGAACAATATGAGCAATTTTATCTAAAATTTCATGAGAAACGTGACAATCATATAAAGCTATAATCATATCCTGTATTTCCGATTTTCCTGGTTCCAAATCTGAAATCGAAAAATGTTTTACCATATGAAAGAATAAATCACATGAAATTGCAATCAATTGGATAATTTCCTTAGATAAATTGCCTTCTGATACCAAATTTAATAGATATTTCATTCTATTCATGAATTCAACAAAGAAATTTGCTGAAATTAGAGAGTTTCTTGCAGAAGAGTATGGTAAGGACTTGATAATGAATTGACAGTATATATTGTATATATTTGGATTGGTTGATGTAAAGCCATGATGAAGTAATGACATAAATTTGCAATTTGTAAGAAAAGAATTCATTGATTCTTCGCAATTCGTTGAGATTATGGATAGAAGCTGTACAAATTTGAAATATGTGTTGGTATCAATAGTACATTTCTCGAGTAAAGCATTTATTCTTGTGAAAATTTGTGTTTCATTAAAAAATCCACGCGGATATTGTCTTATTTTTAATGAAATAGCAACACACTCGAGTAATTCATTTGGCGGTGCAAACGAAAGTTGCAGCTGTTCCAAATTTGAAATCAAATTTATGAATTGTTGAATTAACTGATCATTTGATTCACCTTTTGATTTATCTGGAATGATGCTAGTAATTGATCGAGATAATACATGGGAAAAAGAAGATTTATTAATAGAAGAATTAGTAGATGAATCCATAAAAAGAAAAATGATATTCATAAAACTCATCTTATCAATAATTCCATTGGATCAATACTAAAACTTAATAATTAATTTTGACTTGGAATTGAAAAATTAGTATATTATTTTGTTATGTGTTCCAAAATAATATCTAACGTGAGGTTCCCGTGGTGCAGCCGGTTAGCACTTTTGTCTTATAAGCAGACGGTCGCGGGTTCGAGCCCCGCCGGGAACACCTTTTTATCTTTTTTCTTCTTCCCTTGAAGAATTGAGAAGAATCAAAATAATTTTTCTCTAGATCTTAAAAGAAATATTCAACAATCTATTCATTCTTTCTTATAAATTACTGCATTAAAATTCTAAACTGATTAAAATTTGATTTATAAGATTCTTTAATTCTCTTTAGATGATCCTTATTTATATTCCCAAGTTCTGCAGCATTTGTCCAGATCACACTTCTATAACAATTGATGTGATCCGATGTCAAGTGTTAAAAATGGCCAAAAATTGATAATTCATAAAAAAACAATTTAATTAATGAGATAACAAACAATAGATGGTGTCTAACCATTCTTCCATATGTGATGATAGATCTTTCTGATCAATTTAATTCCATTTGGAAATTTCTCTATTAATAATTTTCAGTAAATCATTGCATTCATTGGTTTCTGCACTTGCTTTATTATTCTTTTTAAGATCTATAGCTTTTTGAAGATATTTTATATTATTTTCTAAAGCGTTCAAATTACCATATTTAATCAAAGTTTTCTTCGTGTATTCTTGAGCATTTGACATTTGTTTTTGTCTATTCTTTATGATGGCGCACTCAGCACCGTAATAGAATATTCTCTTTTCATAAAATTTAATCGTCTTTTTCATCATTTTATTTTCATGTTTCAAATCATATAAATCATCATAAACTTTCTTTGCCTTTGTTTGGTCATGGTCAAACTGCTTAGGAGCGAAATATATTGCATTCATTCTATCCAATCTTTTAGATATAAACTTTGATGAAGCTATTTGTCTATGTAAAGAGTTTAATTCTTCAATTTGGCTGTCGATTTCTGATGATCTGTTTTCAATTGATTTTTCAACTCTTTCTAGTTTTGCATCTATTCCTATTTTAGCATGTTCAAGCATTGCTGCATCTTCCACACATTGGCCGATTCGAACTATTGTTCTCTTTATCGAATCTTCTAACTTTCTTGCTTGAAAATTCAAATGCAAAATTTTGTCCGAATTTGATTTTATTTCATCTTTTGTATTTTGAATTTGGTCAGTAACATCTTTAATGTTCCTCTCTCTGTTAAGCATGTCTTCCATTTTATTCTTTCTTAATCTATTAACTCTGCTTTCCATATCTTTAAAGTCATTTTTAATGTCTTTCAACTGCATTTGTTTTGTTTGGATGTTTTGCTTAGTAACATTCATTTCATCTTCATATCCTTTTAGTAATAAGTCAGATTGCGCAATCATTGCTGAAATACGTTCTGCAGAGAGGCTTAAATCATGCTTTTCATCATTAAATTGATTTAATTTGTTGTTCGAATTCTTTAATGTATCTTGGGATGCTATTTTCTGGGTGCCAAGAGAATTTACATGAACTAAATGAGTGCATTTGGCCGATTCAATCTTGGTTTGAAGATTTCTCGATTGATGTATTTTATCATTTTTATCTTTCTCTAATTTCGATAAATTTCGTTCTAAATCTGCATTATTATTCTGTAATTCTCCAATTTGCTTGTTTGTATCTTCTAATTTTTCTTTCATTAAATCAACTTGAGACGTTAACGCTTGTATTGACGGAGCTGTTGATACAATATTAAATTTATTGATTGTAGATTCTGCATGCATCCTTTGATCCTCAAGCTTTAGCTCAAGATCATTCATTTCTACTAATTTTGCTCTTGTCGCACGAGAAAGTTCTTGTAATAAATTGGTTTTTTGATCAAACATATAAAATGAATCGTTATTTTTGGCTTGCTTGGCAAGTTCTTCTTGAATTAAGACTTCTAAATTTTTATCTGCTTCTGAGTATTCAATATTGAATTGTCTTTTGGCCTCTTCAAGCTCATTTTGAATTTTTGCTAAATTATATTTCTCTTCGGCTAATGTTTTCTCTCTTCGAAGAAGATCTTCTTTTAATTCATCTAATTTACTGATTTGATCGGTCTGTGACAATTCGCGCCCAATACTAGTATTAAGATGATCACCAATTGCACTACTTACATCGTTAATTGATTTGTCTAAAAGGGAAGAATCGAAAGAAGATTTCATTGAACGTTTAGAAATTAATTCATATCAAATTCTTGATATTCATTGATACAAAATGCAACACAGTATGTCATGTTCAAACGAATACAAACTTTGCAATTAAATGAAGAAATAATATTTATTAAAATCCCTCAACAAGCGTATCATGTGATTTATTGATCTGCAGTGTGAAGATATCTATTTGATCAAATATAATTTGGGGCCTCAGGTGGCGTGCTTGCCCGAAGGGCAAGCACGCCACCTTCGGCCAAATTAAATAATTTTTTCAAAAATTGAATTATTCACTATTTAGTTGGCGCAAAGCGCCAATCAAGTAATGAAGAATACTAATATATGTTTACTTAAAATATGATTAAAATTTCTGAACGAAAACTATCAAAAATAAGTCATAAAAAATATAAAAATAAGAATCTAATTTATTGTAGAATAAATATCCGCAAAGTCTTCGAAGCGCCGATAGAATTAATTGACAAGGCTGTAATGCACCAGTGTGTTATAACAGATCGATTTTTAGTGAAATTTAATAAAATAATTATGATGATAAATTTGATATTCAGAGACGGCGCTACGCGCCTTTTAGCATTCTGGGCATGTAAGTGCCCAGAATGCAAGCTTGAGAAATTTGAAACTTCGTTTCAAATTTCTGCCTTGCTGTTATGCAACAAGATTGTTTGAACAAAAATTTTTGAAATTGAGAATAAAAATAATATCTTGATTTTTTGTGATATATGAATTTTTTTGAAGATATTAGAGATTGAAGTCTCAATTTATAAAAATTTTTTAAATTGAGAGGAATTTTAATGATATTATTTTATTTGATATTTGGAGTTTTTAGAAGATTTTATAGATGTCAGTCTCAATTTAAAAATTTTTATAAAAAATAATCGTAAAATAATCGTTTTTGTTGAAATCCTTTTCATTTCGGGAAATTGAAGTTAAATATCAATGAGATAGTCTATGTTTATGCTAAATCAAATCATTAAAATGCGCTTTGATGACTTTTTCTAACCGCAAATTGTCACTTTTTGGTGTTTTAAAATTATTATATATCCTATATGCATCTAAGATATCAATTAATATTTAAATACCAAAATCGATTTTTGAAAGAATCAAATTTATCACATCTCATCGTTGTTCCGAATTAATATTTTATTTATAATGTACATACCATCACAATTATATTTATCATATTAAAATTCAAAAATAATTTTTGAGTTTCAGATCTCCCTAATTTCCCATATAAATCCATGTTTATTTTATTAAAAATATGTTAGTAAAATAATTATAATTCAAAAGCCGCGATCGGGGTAACTATTTTGTATATATATAGAACCCATTCATGTCTCTCGCTCTGTCACTTTTCGGCGCCACGTCGCTTCGCTCGTGGCGCCGAAAAGTGACAGAGCGAGAGACATGATGGGAAATTATGACCGGTTTGTCACCTTTGATACTTTGATGGCCTGCAAGTAAAAGTTTAACAAAGAGATTCCTAAGTCGAATTTAACCAAATTTTTGATCAGATATAATTCTAAATTTTCATATTACGAAAAAATAAATTTCTAGCGTATATTTGAAGTGTCACATTTCTCTTATATTTATAAATTTGGTAAAAATAATTAAATAGAATTTTGACTAATTTATCTGGTAAACAAATTTGAGAGCTTTTGCAAACTGGAAAAAATTTCATTGGAAAAAAATTTTGAGAATTTGGCGTTTGTCATTTTTTTCCTCTGTCTCCAAGATAAATGAGCGCTGATACTAGCCAAACGAATGAATACATTGTATCGAACATCAGGGAATATATGCAAAAGGGCAATTTTTTCGATCTATTTCAAGGAAGAAATGTCAATGAAATCTTCGAAGCAGGATATCTCAAAATTGAAGACTATATCGATCTCATTGAACAAGCTGCGAATAGCAAGAATGCTTATGAATCAATTTTCTATTTACTTAATGCAAACGTTACAATAAATAGTATTCATGATGCAAATTTAATTTCCAAAGCATATGCTCAACATTGTAATCTGAAAATTTTCAATTTCCTCAGCAATACATTAGATCAATCAGAAGAAAATGTAAGGGAAATCCCATTACCAATAGAACAAAACGAACAACAGAAAGCTCAAATATTAGATCGTGAAGAGAAGATATTTGCACACAAATTTCCAACAAAAATCGAATGATATGTTAATTCAAATGATTTCAATTATATCTATCAGTTTCTCGAAGAACTTTCAATGAAAAAAGATCAAAAATATATTTTAATTGCAGCACAGAGGGGGCTTTGCATAAGAAAGGATGAAAATGGAAATTCGCCACTTCACAGGGCCTGTCAGAATGGTAATTTAAAACTTGTTCAATCACTTGTTCAGATTGGAATCAATCCTAATGTTAGAAATAATAATGATGATGTACCTCTTAAAATAGCATCTGAATGTGGTCATCTTGAAATTGTACAATATCTTATTACAATGGGAGCTAACAAAGATTCATCAGACAAATATGGACGCAATCCACTAATTGCAGCATCTATAAATGGTCATCTTGAAATTGTTAAATACCTCATTTCGATAGGTGCTAACAAAGATGCACAAGACAAAAATGGATGCACTCCACTAATTGCAGCATCTGAATTTGATAAGATCGATATTGTAAAATATCTCATTTCGATTGGTGCTAACAAAGATTTGTCAGACAAAAATGGATACACTCCACTAACTATTGCATCTGCTAATAGTCATCTTGAAATTGTTAAATATCTCATTTCAATTGGAACTAACAAAGATGCAAAAAATGCAAATGGGGCAACAGCTCTACTCTGTGCAATTGATTATAATAATCTTGAAATTGCAAAATATTTAATATCAAAGGGAGCAAATAAAGAAGTTAGAGATATTGAAGGTAGAACACTTCTTATTTATGCTTCAATTAAAAATTACTATAAAATAGTTGAATATCTAATTTCCATTGGAGTCAATATCGATGAAATGGCTGACAATTCCGATACTCCACTATTGTGTGCATCACAAATAGGTGGAACAGAATCAGTTAACATACTTCTCGCTGCTGGTGCAAATAAAGAAGCAAAAGACATTGGTGGAAATACACCACTTCTTAAAGCCTCATCGAACGGCCATCTTGAAGTTGTTAAACTCCTTGTTTCTGCTGGAGCAAACAAAGATGCTCGACAATCCCTCGGTTATAATGCCCGAGATTTGGCTGAAATGAATGATCACAGGGATATTGTTGAATTTCTTGATTGAAGCACATTTGGAAAATAATTGTCAAATTCATGAATCGAATTTTATTCCAATTGTATCTGATCTTTGGATTGTCAAATGTCAAATTTGCTTGATTTTTAAACTAAACACATAATTTCAACATATAAAAGAAGAAATGAAAAAATGATTTTACATACTCATTTTACTTGAAGAAATAAAATTCTTCGCATGTAAATCTTTCTATTCACTCAAATTTTGAGAGACAGACTCGAATAATATGAATTCAAGTTTATTTTCAACATTTATGATAAACCACATAGAGATAACTGTTTTAAAACTTGTTATCCTAAAAAATGCATAACTTATACATATATATCTAAAATAATTGAACTTCATATCATTCAATTTTCTAAGGTTGATATCATAATAAATTAATAATACGAATATAAATCTTTCTTTATATTTTAGGCAGTGCTTCTTTGACTATTACTGTTAATACGACATTTTACAGTTTTTGACTTATTTCAAGCAAACTTTGAGAATTTGGCGTTTGTCATTTTTTTCCTCTGTCTCCAAGATAAATGAGCGCTGATACTAGCCAAACGAATGAATACATTGTATCGAACATCAGGGAATATATGCAAAAGGGCAATTTTTTCGATCTATTTCAAGGAAGAAATGTCAATGAAATCTTCGAAGCAGGATATCTCAAAATTGAAGACTATATCGATCTCATTGAACAAGCTGCGAATAGCAAGAATGCTTATGAATCAATTTTCTATTTACTTAATGCAAACGTTACAATAAATAGTATTCATGATGCAAATTTAATTTCCAAAGCATATGCTCAACATTGTAATCTGAAAATTTTCAATTTCCTCAGCAATACATTAGATCAATCAGAAGAAAATGTAAGGGAAATCCCATTACCAATAGAACAAAACGAACAACAGAAAGCTCAAATATTAGATCGTGAAGAGAAGATATTTGCACACAAATTTCCAACAAAAATCGAATGATATGTTAATTCAAATGATTTCAATTATATCTATCAGTTTCTCGAAGAACTTTCAATGAAAAAAGATCAAAAATATATTTTAATTGCAGCACAGAGGGGGCTTTGCATAAGAAAGGATGAAAATGGAAATTCGCCACTTCACAGGGCCTGTCAGAATGGTAATTTAAAACTTGTTCAATCACTTGTTCAGATTGGAATCAATCCTAATGATAGAAATAATTTTAATTATACACCGCTTTTGCTAGCATCATATAATGGCCATCTTGAAATAGTGCAATATCTTCTTTCTAAAGGATCGTTGATCGAAGCTCAAACTGATGCCGGAATGACTCCTTTAAAACTTGCCTCAAGCAAAGGACACATCGTTATTGTAAAATGCCTTATTACAAGTGGAGCTAATAAAGAAGCATCAGACAATAGTGGATCCACTTCTCTCATGTTTGCATCAGTCAATAGCCATCTTGAAGTAGTAAAATATCATATTTCGATAGGAGTTAATAAGGATGCGACAGCTAAAAATGGAATCACCCCACTTATGGCTGCATCTCAAACGGGCCACCTTGAAATTGCAAAATAACTTGTTTCAGTTGGAGCTAAAATAGAAACTGAAGATAATAATAAATCAACTGCTTTAATTCGAGCTTCTGCTAAAAACCATCTTGAGATACTAACATCTCTCCTATAAGGGTGCGCTTCCCACTTTCTGATATTCTCTCAATTTTTTTGACATCCTAGTTTTTTATCCAATTTTTCTAAGGTAAAAAGAAGTTATTTTAAATCACTACTTAGTACCTTATATTACTGTTATACTTTTTTGCAATCACAATAAAGATATATTGATATTATGGGAGCATGTCAGAAAGTGGTAAGTGCACCCTTAACAGAGAGCAGATATAAATGTTGCCAAAGTTGAAAAATTTCTTCATTAAACAACTATAAAAAAATTCTCGGATTATTTTTAAGATTGATTATATATGTGCAATTCCATTTATTGTTACTCTTTTATCAGTTCCTCCTTAAACATGTTAAATCATTTTATGAAAATAAATCTTTCTTTAACTAACAAAAAAATAAATTATCATTAAAAATAAATCAAATGATGTATGTAATATATTACATTGCATTCTCAACAGCATTTCGTTCGTCTTCAATTACCTTGTTAAGGATTATTTCTATTCGCTCTATCTGTGTGTAAGGGCGGCGTCTGCTCTTTAGAATTGCCAATTCTTTCGCAGGAATCGCTGTTTCATCAAGTCCAAGGGAGTTCAAGTCTTGATAAGGGAAATCATTTGCAACAATCGATGGCATGTTTGCGATTGTTCTCCAGAACTCAATTAGAGGAACAGTTCCATCTGTTGTTGGTGTTGGTGACGATCCATCGCAAGATATCTCTTCCAAGTGTTTGAAAAGAGGGATTCTTTTCATTAAGTTTATCATTCCTTTGTTTCCAATTCCGCAATTCTTTATACAAATGCGTTTGATTGTTTCTTGGAAAGCCAAGTATCTGAAAAGGAGATCAGACAGTTCTTCACCGAGATGCAATGTGAAATCTATTCCTGTTATCCTTGCTTGCTGAAGAATAGACACGATACATCTTGTGAAAACAGTTGGATCCGGACATGTAACATTTTCAAGAGAAATTTGTGTCAATGATTTTTGTGTCCTGATAAATCTTGATATCTCTTGAATACCAACAACAGGAACATACAAATCAGAAATGTTCAGTTCAAGGAGATTGGATCTGATATGTTTGTGCTGTTCTCGTTCACTTTCATCCATATAAACCTTAAAAATTTCAAATTCTGATTCAGTAATTTTCAATTTTGCGGCGTTCAAAATGAAAGAATATTTAACTTGTTCGCGGCAAATAGCGAGCATGAATGTAGTGAATGAGTCTCCAATGAATTCACTCTCACTGATATCGAGAACAACGAGACCAGCAGGAAGTTGCAAATTCTTATCAATCGGTTGAGTAAAAGATAGTTTTTGCAATTTCAAAGATCTCATGAGAGGTCTTGTCCTGCAGATAGCGTTGAAGAGCTTGCTGCCCTCGATATTCACGTGCCTGATAACAAGAGTGTTCAACGGCATGTCCATGATTAAAGAAGTAAAAGTGTCAAATGGGAAATTTCGGAATCTCAAATCAACAAGTCTCAAAGTGTCTGTTCTGAAGGACATCGGAGAAGCTTTGATGGTATTGAAGATTTGCTCGGAGTCCTTCTCATTGTAGGACCTTCTTGCAATGGCAATTTCGTTTGGTGGCTCTGCAAAATTATTTGTCGAAATCAGATATGAGCAAATTGTATCACAACAGCAGTTTACGAAGTGCCATCGGCCAACAATGGTCCTGGATCCGTCAAATGCGAACTTTGGCTTGATGTTGGGGGAGTAATTGACAAATACAACTAATTTGACGGAAACTGAGCTTTTCATGAGCCTGTTCAAGAAGGATTCCATGCCATCGAATGCACAGTTCTTGAATACAACTGTATCAATGAGAGATTCGTTTCCTACGGCTGTTCCAAAAGATCCGGCGTAATATGATGGAGAAAACTTCCTTCCTAAGCATAAAACGTTTTCTCCGTTCCATTTGTACCTTAAATATCCTGCTACAGCAAGATTTCTGCCCCAGGGCATCTCATAATGAGAATATGCAATTGCTTTTTTGTATAAACTGTTTTTTGGAGCTTTTGTTAAAGGTTGTAACTGTATACCATCTTGCATTTCAAATGTTGGGAGCTGTAATGACTGAATTCCGTAATATAATTCAGAAAGAATTCTATGTAGCAAAATACAGAAATTTTCAGTACCTTTGAATTCAAGACTAAGTCTTCTTTCTTCGTAATGCTCTTCTGGAATAATGACTGGATTTTCTTCGTTATTTAACAAAGGAACTTCTTCTAGATCTACTTGAGGCTCGTTTGTTTGCTTTGGAGTATCTATTATGCTTTGGTATGTTAAAATTACACGATTTGATAATTGTTGTACTTTTGAAAATTTAAATAAATGATGATGTCCACGAAGAACATATCCTCTAAGGAGCTTATCTCTAAATATGTATAAGGCTCCTCTTGTAAGCATCATGATACCTGATTTCTCCATTGACGACTTTGAATCTCTATAAATACACCTAGAAAGCCAAAGAGGCCTTTCATTTCTGCCCCATGTATGGCTAGCAAAAAGACGAGATTTTTCACCTTTCCAAGAAAGATAAATCATGCTTGTTGGTATATCTTCATCAGTCATTTTAAAATTTCACACTGAAAAAGTGACAAATTCTTTAAGTTTTTTTATAAAAAAAATGAAAATGACTGATTATCAACGATGGCGCTGTATGAAAGCGCTTAATAAATTGTTCGAATTCTCTATTTCAGACATGTTTTCGGAGCCTGTCGATCCAATTGCTGATGGATGCCCTGATTATTTTGAAAAAATCGAGTATCCAATAGATCTTGGAACAATCAAAAAGAAACTCATAAATGATGAATACAAGTCAACAGATGAATTCAAATACGAAGTAAATTTAGTTTGGGATAACTCCTATCGATATAATGGTAAACAAGCCATTGTTTCATTACTAGCAAAACAATTATCTGTTGTTTTCAACAAAGAAGCTGAATTCTTTTCAGGAAACGATATTCTTGATTGGAAACGAGAATGTGAAGCTTTAGAAGAAGCTGTTGGCCTAAGGAATGCAAACCAAAAGCAAGTTGCTATTCCGCCACCTCCACAGCCTGTTGAAAGAAAGCCAAATCCACCAAGAATTAAGCGACAAATGTCAGCACCAATCAAGGAGATTCCAAGTCCTGTAAAACCGCAAAGATCTCGCTCCAATAAGAAGTCCCATGCACATGCTGAGCCTGTAGTTGAACAGCCTGTTATTGAAGAAAGAAAGATCGAATACCCAACACTCCCACCATATGAAAAGGAGCCTCTAACTGATGAGCAAAAAGAATTACTTGCAAAAGATATCAACTCTTTAACAAATCAAGATTATATCGACCAAATTATACAATTCATTCGAACTCAAAAGCCTGAGATGGTTGTCGATGATGCAATAGAATCGAATATTACTAACCTAGAAGATCCTCATATTATTCATCTCCGCTCAATTGTAAGTGATATGATGCAACATATTGCTGCTTAGATATTATAAAATGTTTGTTTTCTTAATATTTTTTTATAATCTCCATGCGTGATTTTTTTCCAAATTGATACAAAAAAATTAATAAATGCAGAATCTCTCATTGTAGATCAATAGCTCTGTGTTAAGTACTAAGATAGGCTGACTTGTGTATTTACAGTTATTATTGAAATCGAAATCTTAATCACATCAATAATATCGATTGAGAATAGCATTTTTGATAAGGTCTAAGGATATAACTTATAGGAAATAACGATTAACGTCTCTAATTTTCATAATATTATCATCTAATTTTGGAAATTTTCGAATAAAGCCTTTTTATTTTACAAAATTACAAAATTGATGAGCCCATTACGCCTTTGAGCCTTCATAAATTGTCAGATTCTAGTAAATATTAAAAAAAAAACTTAAATTTAAGATAAAGATACATTATTTTTTACAATTTTTAAAACGCTGTTCCATCTATAGACAAGCGAATAAGTTGTGAAGCCTCTTTCTCAGAAATCTCTTCAGCATTCTCCTTAATATATTGTTTTGGATCGACTTTGCCGACGTGTCTAGTTTCGTACTCGGAAGATGTAAGGGATTCTTCCTCGATGATAGAATGTCTGTAATTATCGACGCAATCGGTCATTCTCTTTATCTTTGTAAGTTCTTGTTTTTCACGAGAAACAAAACTTGGAAGATCGAATCCTGCAACCCAAGTTGGTCTATTTAATGACATGAGCATCTGTTGTTCGAATGTATTCATTTTGTATGCAACTGGAAGTTGGTAATAAAGTTTGTTTAGACCGCGAACAAGGGCCTTGATAGATGGCTTTTCAAGGGATCCTATGAATGATGTAGTTTCGCGTGGTTCTGTATTTGGCTGGAAGGTCATTTGATTTTGTGGGATGCAGCGGAAGGCTCCGATAATTACCTTGCCGCGAACGGATTGTACTGGATCAACGACAACAGCGATACACCTGGGGTTGATTTTTTCCCAGTAAAGTTGTTGGTTGATATCGACATTTGAAAGCCAGACGCCAAATCCGGGGTGAGAATGGTACCAGCCAATAACATCCTCTTGTCTACCAACGGATTTAAGCATTTTTGTCATACTTATTTGATAAACTTCATCAATTGCTTCAACAGCAGTGCCTGTTCCTGTTGATGGAACAGGGAATACATCAACAACATGAACTGTATAGTCATCAATGAAGCGTCCAAGCATTAAACCGCAGACTTCAAGTGGGATTCCAGATTTTCCATGTTTGAGCATTTTAAGCAATGCCATTCCGCTAACATAAACTGTTTCTGATGTATCAAAGTGGGCTGGCTGAGTTCTCATGCCTTCCATAGCGAAAGTATCATGATCGAACATTAAATTTTTTTACTTTCTAAAAAATTTTTTTTCTAAGCGAACTATTATAATGTGATGGGAAAAGTGACAAAAAATAGAGTGTTTACAATTAGGTTCCACCTTGTCGAATAATATATTTATACTATTTGGAACTAATAATCATTATTTCTTAAGGTTTTCATGAAATATTCAATCAAAATCTCAAGTCTAAATTAAGTCCATGGAACGAGTAAGATAAATTATTCATATATTAGCATAATGCTGGTTATTTGTTATCATATTTCAAATGAAACAATAATAAATTAATGTAATTGAATTGAGATCCAGTTAAAAAGCTTATTTTGTCCCCATATTCATATCTTGCATAAAGGACCTTTTAAAAATAGTCTTTCATCATATTAATATCATACAAAATACAAGAGAAACAGAGCTTTATTTATCATTAAAAAATGTTTGAGGAATTAAGGCTGCACTTACCACTTTCTGACATGCTCTTATAATATCAACATATCTTTATTTTAATAACAAAAAAGTATAACAGTCATATGAGGTACTAGGTAATGAATTATAATAACTTTTCATCGATCAAAAATTTTAACTTTATATCATAGAAAATTAGGATATAAAGCATATGTGTCAAAAAAATTGAGCGAATGTCAGAAAGTGGTAAGTGCAACTTTAAATATGAGTTATCTTATGAATGATTCTGCTTCCCACGTATATTGAAAAAAAAAGTCAATTTCCATATAATATATAAATTTTATATAAAACGAATGATAATACATTTCCGATGATTGGATTACTTGGATTACACAGAAAGTAGATATTTTTTAACATTGTCTTTTGCGCATTCAAGTGCAGTAGTTCCATAATTGCTCTTTGCCTCCTTATTAACTCCTACAGAGACAAGATATTTGACAATGTCAAGAAAACCACTCTCTGCTGATATAATGAGTGGAGTTTTTCCATCATTATCAGTTGCTTCTTTATTGGCTCCAACTGATATAAGGTATTTAACAACATCAAGACTGCCACTAAGACATGAACTTATGAGTGGAGTATATCCATACATATTCTTTGCTTCTTTTTTAGCACCAACGGAGACAAGATATTGAACTGTAGGGAGATGGCTGCCAGCTGCTGCAGCAATGAGTGGAGTATTGTCATTATTATTCTTTGTTTCTATGTTTGCTCCGACAGCGATAAGGAACTTTACAACTTCAAGTTGGCCACGAGATGCCGCGAAAATGATTGATTCCCATCCGTAGCCATCCTTTGCATCTATTTTAGCTCCAGCAGAAACAAGGTATGTAGCAACTTCAAGTTGGCCGCAATATGATGCACGCATGAGTGGAGTATATTTATAATAACTTCTTGTTTCTTTATCAGCGCCGCCTAAAACAAGACCTTTGACAAGTTTAACATTACCTTTTTCGCTTGCAATATGAAGTATATTCTTTTCATCATCCCATTTGGATGCTTTTGGAGCTGTTTTCTTCCAGAGACCGTTTTCACATGCTTTTTTCATAACCCAATGATTTTCATTTGATGAATTTTCATCAAGGAAATTATAAATACTTTCGAAATCATCGGATTTCTTAAGTTCCTCAATTTTTGCTAGGACTGCTTTGTCTTCACCAGTCTCTCCATCATTTTCATGGCTTTCCCTTCTTAATTGGGTATTTTCTTGATCAATTTGTGAGTAAACACATTCCAGGTTATGAAGTTTTTCTTCATATTCCCTAATTGATGTTTCAAGTTTACTTATTCTTGTGTAAGCGCTCTGGAGATCTGACTTTAATTTGTTGTTTTCTTCTTGAAGTTTGCTAAGTTTGCTTTGGAGTTCATCAACTTCCTCAACACTTCCAACTTCTTGGAGTTGTCTCTTTAATAAGTTGTTTTCTTCGTTATATTGATAAATCATCTTTTCTCTGGTTTGTAGATCTTTCTTTAATTTGTTGACTTCTTCAGTCATATCAATGAATTTTCTTTCTCTGTCTTGGAATGTTTCCAATAACTTCTTGTTTTCTTGGTTAAATTGGCTTTGCGTCTTCTTTAATTTGTTGTTTTCTTCTGTAATTTCTTTGATCTGTTTATCTTTGTGTTTAATCTCTCTCTTTAATTTCTTGTTTTCGTCGGAAGTTTCATTGAGTTTCTTCTCTTTTTCTTGGAGTTTCTTCTTCAATTTCTTGTCGACATCAGCGCCATCAGCATTGCTGTAATTTTCTAATTCTTTGATTTCTCTCTTTAACACATTGTTTTCTTCATTAAATTGATAGATCATCCTTTCTCTGTCTTGTAGATTTCTCTTTAATTTGTTGATTTCTTCTTGAAGCTCTACGCCATTTTGATTGCCACTTCTTTCTTGAAGTTCCTGTCTTAATTTGTTATTTTCTTCACGCAATACGTTGAGTTCTCCCTTTAATTGGTCGATGTCTTTGTGATTTTGGTTTAGCTGTGGTGGAGGAGGTGGAAGTGATGAAGATGGTGTTTGTTGTGCTTGTCGTGGTGGTGGAGGTGGTTTTATTGGTGGTGGTGGAGGCAAATATGAAGATGGTGGTGGAGGTAATGATGGTACCGTATTTCTGAGTTCGAGCTTTTCCTTTAATTGGTTGTTTTCTTCTATAATTTGTTTGAGTTTTGTTTCTTTTTCTTGAAGCTCTTTCTTTAATGATTCGATATCTACGCTCGTTTGATTGCCACTTCTTTCCTGCTTTAATTTGTTATTTTCTTCACGCAATACTTTGAGATTTTCTTCAACGTTTTGGAAATCAAATCTTAATTTTAAGTTCTCTTTCTTAACTTCCTGGTAAGATTTTTTGATATCACTGAGTTCTTCCTTTAATTGGTCGATTTCTTCGTTATTTTGGTTTAGCTGTGGAATTGGCTGCATTAATGGTGGAGGAGGAAGTGATGAGGATGGTGGAGGAGGAAATGATGAGGATGGTGGAGGTAGTGATGGTGAACGTTGATAACGAGGTTGAATTGGTGGTGGTGGAGGCAGGGATGAGGATGGTGGTGAAGGGAATGGTGGCATTGGAGGCATGGATGAGGATGGTGGTGATTGACGTGATGCTGGTAGGGGTAGTAATGGTACCATATTGTTGACTTCGAGCGTTTTCTTTAATCGGTTGTTTTCTTCTGTAAGTTGATTGAGCATTTTTTCTTTTTCTTGAAGTTCTTTCTCCAAGTTGCTGATCTCTCCGTCATTACTGCTTCTGTCTTTGAGTCTCTTATTTAATAAGTTAATTTCATCTGTCAATTGTTTCACTTTTCTTTCTTTCTCTTGATAATCAACTTTTAATTTGACGTTTTCTTGATTTAGTTGCATATAAGATCTTTGGACTTTTTGGAGTTCAGACATTAATTGGCTCGTATCTCCATTATTTGTATTGGACGGTAGTGGTGGCATAGATAAGTTTTTGATTTCTCTCTTTAATTTGCTATTTTCTTCAGTGGCTTGCAAGTAAGCTCTTTCTGTTTTTCGGAGTTCTCCTGCTAATGAATCATTTTCTCTTGTAATTTCATTGAGTTTATTTCGAAGTTCTAGGGTATCGATGTCACTTTTATTTTTTTAGCTTCAATTAATTCTTCTTGTAGTTTTTGAATCTTTTCTGTAGTATCGGATATTTCCTTCTCTGTGTTATCTAAAAAATCAACAATTCCATTGAGAACTCCGAGTTTCATGTACGTTTTGACAGATTTCAATGTTGAGATGACTTCATCCAAGTTTTTAACAGAAACGTTAGCTTTTCTTGTACAAATATATAATTCGCTTGATGTAATTGTATTGTGTGATTGCATAATAAGAGTGACGAAGTCATTCGCTGAGAATTTTAAATTTTTCAATATCTTTGGAATGTCTTCGACATCAAACAGATGAAAAAAGGTTTCTGCTTGAACATAATCGTTGATATGATCTGCAGTGTATTCATAATTTATAGTAAGACTGTCACTCATCGAAATGTGAAGTGGAAACTTTGAGTTTGAGTGATGGTCAATAATTTTGATATGATCTATTTTAAGTGCTTAGATGCTAACATTGTTCATACATTGCAACCGAAATTCCTTGAATTGTTGTTTTACACAATTTACAATTTGTGTAGCGATGATGGTTAATATATGATTGGAATGAAAAGAAACAAAATTAAGCATTAAAGCAGGAATTTCGGATATCAAATTATTGAAGTTTGAAAACTTGAATAAAGTATGTGTGATTATCTTTATGTTTCACCTTAACAAAGCGAACTAAAAAAAAAAAAAAAAAAAAAAAAAAAAAAAAAGGTAGTGAGGCTTCCAGGCACTTCGTGCCTTCTAGCCTTTGAAGTTGATGAGTATAAATGAAGTTTTTATATATACGGGTCTTCCAGGAGCTTTTCACAAATTATATATGTTTTCATGTTTTGTCATGATTTCATCGTAAATGTTTTGTCAAAACTTCATCGTAAAGACTTTGTCAAGACTTCTTCGTAAATGTTTTGTCAAGACTTCTTCTTCGTAAATGTTTTGTCAAGACTTCTTCTTCGTAAATGTTTTGTCAAGACTTCTTCGTAAATGTTTTGTCAAGACTTCTTCTTCGTAAATGTTTTGTCAAGACTTCTTCGTAAAATCAGACAAAAATAATGTTTAGGTGAAGAGGTGAGATTTCACCTGTTTTTTCACCTAATTTTTCACCTCGTGAATTTTCATGAATTTTACACCAAAAATAATGTTTAGGTGAAGAGGTGAGATTTCACCTGTTTTTTCACCTCTTTTCTCACCTCTTGAATTTTCATGAAATTTACACCAAAAATAATGTTTAGGTGAAGAGGTGAGATTTCACCTGTTTTTTCACCTAATTTTTCACCCTCTTGAATTTTCATGAAATTTACACCAAAAATATACTACTAGGGTCATTTACGAAGAAATCTCAACAAAGTCTTTACGATGAAATCTTGACAAAGTCTTTACGAAGAAATCTCAACAAAGTCTTTACGATGAAATCTTGACAAAACATAGACAAGAAAGTTCATGAGAAATTAGATGAAGAAGTCTTAACAAAGTCTTTACGAAGAAATTCATGAAAATTCAAGAGGTGAGAAATGAGGTGAAAAAAGAGGTGAAATCTCACCTCTTCACCTAAACATTATTTTTGGGTCATTTACACTCATTTACGAAGAAATCTCAACAAAGTCTTTACGAAGAAGTGTCATATAAACATCTGTCAAAAACCGCTTTTTAACTTCACTTAAAATGCCACGTAAGCTACGTAAGAATATACGTAAGAGGAAGAGAGCATTGAAACATCCAATAGTAAGACTGACACCACAACAACAGTTGCAACAACAAATGCTGAATGACCCCACTATGTTGCAACAAATGTCAAGCAATCCTATGCTTTTAAACCGAGTTGTTGGTGCACAGAGTGGAGGTTTAAGAGCGGCACTTTTAGCGAAAATGGCAGGCTATGGTGGAGCTGCAGACGGAACAGCTTATAACCCTCAAAGTCAAATGAATTTGAGTTCACTCAAAATCAAATAACAGATGTCAAAAAGTCAAACATAGACATACAGAAACAAATAAGTGAAAACGAAAAGAAACTAGAATATGACAGACACACAAAGAAACTCAATGAGTTAAACGTAGAGAAAAAGAAGAAAGAAGAACAACTGAAAGAACTAAGTACAGAGGAATATGCAAAAAAAGTGTCAGAAAAAGCAGCAGAAGTAGCAAAAATGGAACAAGATGTTATAAATTTGAAAAACCATACTACTCAATATAAAATACTGAAAGATGAAGAGATAAAACAAAAAGCCCTGAAGACATATATGGATAGCGATGAGTATAAAAAGAAGTTGAAGCAAATGTAAAGGCAGAAAAACTTTTACAGTTGCAAAACCAAACCGTACAGTATGAAAACTTAGCACAAGAAAGTAAAAATAACGACGCGGCTATGCAAAAGGCAATGAAAAGCGCAGAATATATAAAAGCTAACAATGACTGGTTAGATGCCCAAGCCAACGCTAAAGCAGCCCAACTTATAGGGTCAATAAGGACAAAAATACAAGCGGATGAAGACAGTTCAAATGAAGCTTTAATGAATGCTGACTTTTAAGAACGCCTTCGAAGCTCTTCATAGTAAGGTGAAACAAGTGAACGACTTCTCATCTGGAAAGAAACTGAAGTCTGAAGGTTTCGACAAAGAGTTAAAGGAAGTAGCACAAAATATGACGAAAATAACAGATGCAGCAACGAGACAGGCAGTTCAAAGTGCCTATGACGCCGTTAGAGCAACTGTTGTGAAAAGTCAAGAAAAAGAGTTACAACAGACCAAAACAGACCTAGTAAATGCTTTCTTAAGAACGAAAAGTCAGGTAGGACATTACGCTGCAGATGGAACATATGTGCCAGCTGGTGGAACTTATATACCACCAAACCCTCCAAGAGAAGCACCTGCACCAGGACTACCTAGAACATTTACATCGTCACATGGACACAGACACAGGCATGCACCAAACCCAACACAACAACCAACAGTTCAAAATCCAGCACAACAGCCACCTCCACAACCAACAGTTCAAAACCCTGCACAACAACCAACAGTTCAAAACACTGCACCACAACCAACAGTTCAAAACACTGCACCACAAACAGAGCAAGGACATAAAAGAAGTAGAGAACAAGGAAACCAAGAATTCTTAAAAATGCTTAAGGAAGAGTGTGGTTTCCCAGATACTGTTGACTTTAGTGACAGATATAAAGAAGCTATTAGAAAGTTCAAGGAAGGAAATACTGACCCGAACCTATTTAGCTTTATGGTTCAGCACCAAATGGGATATAATTTCAAACCTGGAAAATACAAGCTCGCTAAGGGATATGATTTAATAGCATATCATCCAAATGACATGACTGAATTTACTCCGAGATATTTGGTGTCAGAGCTAAATGATAATTCAACTCTCTTCATGAAACGCGTAAAAAATAGAGACGGAACGAAAGAAGAAAGGCTTATGAATGCGGATGACGTAGATAGGGAAATTGTTGAAAACGGTCTCGGAATATATGAAATGCCAGCAGATGAGGTACAAGAAACTCCACAGGAAGAAGTTCAGATACAACCAGACATGGAAGAAATAGTTCAGCAACAACAGCTAGAAGAGCCTGAAGGAAACGAACAAGTCCTTCCTTTGGAAACTAACTTCACAGAACTAGATGAAGATTTGGAACAGCCGAAAAATCTTGACCCTCAACAAGAGTATGCGGAGAATATGGAATATTTCCAAGAGTCTAAAAAAAAATTCGGCTGACATAGTAGAAGAATATCGAAAAATGTTTGCCGACATACAAAAGACTCCAACACCAGATGAAAATATTCAGCATAGAATGGAAGAACTGAAAAAAAATGTACACAAATACAACAACCCTTTTTACTTACGAGCATTTAACGTTCAATCTTCGGATGAACTCGGTGAAAATAAAAGGTTAAATTTCAAGAAACATATAGAAATGAAACATTGTTTAAAGTTCATTCAGAACCTAACCAAGATGGAAACAAACCTACTTTTGTTTCTGCAGACGATGGAACTACAATGAGATGGGGTCATAAAGCTAATCCGGATAGGTGGTTCATAAACTTACAACCACAATTCCAAGAAGTTGTAGACGCAATGGAAGTGAATGGTGAACCAGATGTAGCTGGTATTTTCAGCGCGGCTTTAATGCCATTGAAAGATATGAAAGATGCAGATATTTTGAACCAGTATGAAATGAACATGGCTGATGGAAATATAACACCTGACGTTCTAGAACATTTATCTCAAAGAACTACACAGAACCATAGAGATGGTATATTTGGTGAAGAGTTTAGAAAGAAAGTTATGGACAGCGAAGGAAGAGAACCTATTGTACATGACCTTGCAAACGAAAGTTTACAAAATGTCATAAAAACTTACTTTGCAGACAATGAACCGAGAAGGGATGAATATTTAAGAAAAACTCAAATGGACAGTACCAAATGAAATGTTAGTATTGAAAAACATGTTCCTTGACAAAATAAAACCAACTACAGAAATAAACGACGCAAGACTGAAAGATTGGGTAAAAGCTTTCCCATTCACAAAGATATAGTTGGTAACATGGAAAGAAAACCAGAATGGCTACAAAAACATATATTTGGAAACGAGCATATTCCATATGGACAGGCACTGTTTGAAGAGCTTGAACCGGAAACTCAGGAAAGAGTCATGCAAACAATACGCGAAGACTCAAATACAGACTATGACAACTCTTTCTAGGATATAGGTTACCTGAGATGGGCGACCAGAGCCCAAAGGCAAAAAGGGCATGGAAAATTTGCAACATACTAGATGAACATAATGCAAAGATGCAACAACTTCAAGCAGAGGGCAATGAAGGAAAAAGAAGAGTTAAAAACTCAGTCAGGAAGAAGTAAAGCTTGGTCCACGTGGGTTCTATTATGACATATAAATCCAACTATTCTATATTTTTACTCATATGAAATGTACGCCGCTCAGAATAAACGCCAACAGTTTTTGGATGCTATGAATGGAAATGTTTCCGAATGGTATAACGAATGCGACAATGCCATTAGAAGGTCAGAAATAGTTCCTGGAACTTACGAATATACAACTGCTGTTTCTTATGGAAACGTAGGTGAGTTTGGAGAAGGTTCTTCAACAACAGTAGATATTGCTTGCGACAGGTTTCATATTATTTCTATTGACAACTCATTCTTATACGTGGAACAAGACATTGAAATAAAACCTTCTGCCAAGTTGTCTGACAAGAAAGGTTGCAATGGAATTTTCTATGTCGGATACCAATATGCTCCAGAAGTTTTCATGGGATATAAGATATATTCTAACTCTGACTTAGTTCAAACAGTAACATGGGCAAACTATGAATGGTTCGCTTTGAGAAACTCAGTACAACCACAAGCTAGAGAACAAACAGACCAGTAT